TGTCTCAGAGTTACATCGAAATTCATTAGCAAATTTAAAATAAAATATTAAGTTAAATAATAATTATTATTATTATTGCTGGTTATCAGCCGGTCCGTCCGGGTCCCGGGTGACCAGCCCGTGTAAGGACTAGGGAAGGTCCCAAAAAAAAAAAAAAAAAAAAAATTGGACAAAAAACTACGTTATGCAGAAACATAAACTTAACAACTTTTGCCTTAGGGTCGCATCGAAAATTTTCACAAATTTGGAAAAAAAAAAAATAAAAAAAAAATACTTTTGTATTTTTTTTTGTCTAGGCGGGCAAATGACTCTGGGCCACCCTGGTAGCCTAGTTATTATTCTTATTTTTTTGCGAGCTCGAGAAATGAATGCGGGCTACTATGGTAGTCTATAAAAAAACTAGGCTACCAGTCGGGTTGCCCGGGGCACCTTATTTTCCCGGACGGCCTGGCCGTGCAAAGCCCATGGAAGGTCCTAACAATAAAAAAATAAAAAAATAAAAAAACTATGTTATGCAGAAAAATAAGGTGAATAATCTAGGCTACCAGAGTGGCCCGAGTCACTTGCCCCGCCGGGCGAAAAAAAATAATAATAATAATAAATTATCTTTTATTCCAAATTTCGAGGAGAATTTTGATGTGACCCCGAGGCAAAAATTGTTCGGTTTTTTTTTCTGCATAACATATTTTTTTTTTTTTTTTTTTTTTTTTTTTTTTTTTTTTGGGACCTTCCTTGGTCCTTGCACGGGCTGGCCACCCGGGACCAGGGCGGCCGGCTGGTAGCCTGATGAATAATTTTTTATTTCTTTTATTTTTATTTTTTTAAGAGAACAATGTCTTTATAAAAGTCGGAAAGCGGGTCCGGTGTCCTTTATAAAATTAGGTGGGACCCTCAGTGGGCAAGGCATCATCGACTAAACACATAGAGGACACCACTAGATTTAACCCCACAGCTGACTCCACAACCCCAAGAACTCAAAAAGTCAACGAAAATTATCATCACAATCTAAATTATGCCTAAAAAATGAAAATACTAAGAAAATTTGAAGTTCATCACTAAAAACGTAATCACAATAATCATGTCAACCCTAAGTTAGTGACCTAAATTCCACAAACTGGAAAAAACGAATCAAAACCACAAATAAAAAACTAGCGATCATCCCTGCGTGATCATGTCCACCATTCATCCGGAGTTATTACCAACTCCTGCCAATCCGCCCTACCACCCGCGCGACAGGGGTCTGTGCCCTCAGCCCTGAACTGTTGACAGAGACCCAGCAAACCCACCCACCTCCTCGTGATTCAAAGCAGATAACACCTTCCCACACTCTTCTTTACAAAAACAAAAATTCCCACTACGATGTTGTTTTTACTAACCAGGGGATTCCCCTACCTCACGCGCTGCAGGGGCTAAGAAGCCCCGCGAAACCGACCCACCTCCTCGCGATTTAGGGTAAGCCTCTCCCTCAATCTGCATATACCCCCTATGAATGTTTCCCCTCCCCCGATGATGAATCCCCTTTGGAGAAATGCTCACCACTTCTCCTTAAGAATTCAGATGACAGCAAACAACAGCCTATTAGGATGAAATGAATATCTGACCCAAATTCAACGTCTCAACGGTTTTACCCTACCTCCCACACAGCAGAGGGCAAAGACCCCGTAAACCCAGCATTTGCCTTAGGGTCACATCAATTTTTTTTACCAAATTTAAAATAAAAATAATAATTTTATAATTTTTTTATTTTTTATTTTTTTGCCCGGTCGGACAACTAGCCCCGGGCCACTTTGGTAGCCTAGTAAAAAAATGATTAATTATTAAAAAACTCAGATTCGAAAAATAAAAGACAAATACTTCATCATTAAACATCTAAAATATTAACGTATCGTCGCATCTATCAATATTCCTCAGACACTCATTTCAAATACATAAACAACTTAACTAATTATAATAAGATTAAAACTTCAATCAAATAATAAATAATAATAATGAATATCATTTAACATATATTTCATAAAATTTAATTCAACTCTTAATAATTGACATACATACACTCTTTATCAGTCACAGATTGATATAAATGATGTACTATGTTTGTTTTTTATTTTTTAATAATGCATTATAACAAAAATAAAAATATTTTTTAGTGTTAAATAAAAAAAAAACAAATAGTTAATGTATTTTGTTCAAAGGTATCTTGTTAAACTTATTGTTTACAATAATTTGAAAAATTTGCTTTTCAATAATACGAATCTCAGCGAAAGAGGCATAATATGAAAAAAACATGTTTTGTAGGCATTTAGAAATTCGTTTTAAAATAAGATAGTTGAAATTAAGTTAAAAAAAAAGGTCAACAATGCATATGCATATGCAATGTACATACGTGAAGCGTACAGGCAAGAACATGCACACTTACATACAAAATATTTTTCTACACATCTATCATTTTTTGTTTTTTTTTTATTATATTAAATGATACTTTATCACTTCAAAACACACATACACATACACATATAAACGCATGCATACTGGTAGAGAGATATAGAGAGAGATATATATATATATATATATATATATATATATATATATATATATATATATATATATATATATATATATATATTGAGAAAGAGAGAGTACATACAAACGAAGACATATATACATAGATAGATCGTTAGATACAAAGATACGTAGATAGACAAGTAGATAAATTGATAGATAGATAAGTAAATATATATATAGAGTGAGAGAGAGAGAGAGAGAGAGATAGTATATTTGAATTTTTTAAGATCGGTAGTTCGCAGCCTGAATGTTGCGGTATAGTAGGCTTAAGGGTCCGTGTTAAGGTGACACATTTTCAACGGTGGGGGATTGACACACAAGTGGGTTATAAGGGGGTGAAATTTTTTAGGGGACTGGTCCACCGCGTTTCTACAGACTATGTACAACTATTGCATATATAACAAGTGAGGTAACAAAGGTTGAGGACCGATCCTCCCTTTCATGTGAATTGCAAAAGAAGCTAAAGGAAAAAATTGTGTGTGTATGCCGTCGGACCCAGGTATTGAGGTAGGGTCTGGTGCGGACAGAGCCTGAACGTTGCTTTTCATTCGGCCCCTACACAAAGGCGCATCGACAGGTAAAGTTATGCAATTCGTAAAAGGCAACTTTAATAGGTATTTGTGCCAATAAAAATTCACAAAAAAAAATTTAAATTTTGAGGCTTCGTCGACTAGGTTGTGATCTTTTCAATAAAAATATATGATAAAAAAAAAAAAAACCATTAAGATCGCGAAATAATCGCTTCGCGGATTTTACACATTTTTAATTTTTGCCACTCAACCATGAGTGGACCGATAAAAAAATACAACTTCAATTTTTTTTTGCGCACAGAAGAGTGTATGGAAAATGCTGAAAATTGCAGTGGTCGTATATTTTATTGTGATATATCCATGAAAAATATTAAATAAAATTAAAAAAATTATTTTAACTGCAAAATAAATCACGGCCGCAATCTGACTTGTATTCCAATTTGATCATTCAACTTCTTTCTCTCCCTCTTTGGTTTTGGTAGAACACCTTCCCCCCTCCCTCTCTCTCCCCCCCCCCCCCCCCCNCCCCCCCCCCCCCCCCCCCCCCCCCTTTGGGAAAGTTAGATTGCGCGTCATGAGGAGTTGGGTACATTTTGCTAACTCAATATAGCGGAAATTTGGGCGGGTCTGATTGCCTGTTTGTGGAGTTGGATACAATTGAAATAGCATCCTTTTCAATTGTGCTATAGGGGTCATTCAACTTACAATGGTGCCCAAATTCGTAGCTGTAGAATTTGAGCTACGCACGTTACGTGCAATTAAACCCACCCAAATTTCCGCAATACCCAGTTACTGGTTTGCAAGTCTATGACATACTATCTTCACTCCCCTAACAAAAAACCCTCCTCTCTCACCCCCCGCCATACAACTAAGGGCCTTGTTAAACACTCATCGGGAATGCGATCCCAACAATTTCATAGTCGTTCCACTTATCCTCGCAAACGAAATTGGAAATGGAATTATGAAAATACTCCAAGGGCAAATCCTTCGCCTCCAAGAATTTCCCAGCCATCCAGAGGTCCCTTGGAGTTCGAGGATCCATGTTTCACGGAGAGGAGTCCTCGTGTTTCCCGGAGAGGAGAAAGCATGCATGTGGTAGTACGTACAACTGCGAATCCGGATCGACGCGGCACCCTATTGGCTGAAATCGTGAAGCACAACTGTTTTTTTTTGGGGTAACTTCGGCGCAGTCACGAAAACAGTTCGAACAATCCCGCGAATACAACACCCCCCCACGCGACCCCACCGGACAGGAAACGTAGGTCATATACATTCAGCATTACGGGCCCTTTTGCCTCAAGTGCAATTACAAACTCAAACCCTGACTGCGACGTAGTTTTCTCTTTTTTTTTTTGTCTTCTGACACTGCTCTAAAGACGATGAGAACCCTAAATCTTTCCAAGGATTCATCCACTGGCACTTATGACGTGGTTTGGAGTCTCTAACGAGGCCCTAATGAGGAAGACTTCCAAGGGCCTTACTGTTGAACGTTGTCAGAGATGTTTTGGGCTTTTATAGGGCTGTGTTTGGGCCTGCCCCCGTTTTGGGCTTTCCCGTCTTCGGGCTGAGTACCCGCGCCCTCGCTGTGCAGATTTGGGCAAGGGTATGCATGAATTTCACCCGTTATTGATATTTCATGTTATACGTAATTGAACCTACATATATATATTTATATTCGTATATAATGTACCAGAATTTGGGGTCGGCGGGAAACTGAAGGGGGGGAGGGAGGGAAGTCCGTTAATTAAACTTAATTTCCCCTCCAATTTCCCCGCTCCAATTTCCGCTCCAATTTCCGCTCCAATTCCCCGCGCTTGCTGCTGCTGTTACCTGCCTCCTTCCTGCTCCCAGCTCTGCCCCCAGCTCTGCCCCCTCTCAGCTGTAGCGTTTGGCAGTGTCGGAGTGCTACCGTAGTTGCCCGCAGGCAACGTCGGGTCCAGCGGTCGCGCGCTTGTGCTCGGTGTTCCGATTACTCATCTATGATCGCGGGGGAACGGCCACGTGTCCGGCGCTGAGGGAGGCGATCTGAGAGTGGATGGGACCGGGCGGGTGGGCGGGTGGTTAACTTGCCGACGCGCCCTGCGAGTTGCTGTGTCTCCTTGTCTTTTTCTTTCACGTGTCAACTCGTCGTTTGCCAGGAATCTTGGAGGTCGATCGGTTTCACGGAGGAGGAGGGGGAGGAGGAGGAGTGAAGGTCGGGACGACGGAAGAAGCGCCAGCTATGGCGGCGGCCGTGAAATTTGTAGAAGCTTTGCAGGTGGCTTACCCAGATCTGACGGAATGGTTCGTGCAGATGGGAGAACTTCATCAGCGAAAGCTATGGCATGAACTGACTCTCAAGCTGGAACAGTTTCTCGACTCACGCGTGGCTAAGGTTAGGATTACGCCGGACCAAACCTTATCTATTCCACCTTATCTTATTCTCCACTGCTTAGCTATCGTTTTATCCATATCCATGTCTCTATCTATTACTTACCTATCACCCTGCCTATCTATTGCATATTGCCTGATGATGAATCTGTAGACTACAGTCTACATTGTTGTATCTAGTCTTCATCCTATCACAAGGCACGCTGATAGCAAATGTATACAAGCTATCTTTCTGGTTCAGGTGCAGCCATCAGGGTGCGTATTAGTATTGTTGGCCTTGGGAAGCCATATCAATCCGCAGGGTGCGAGCTCTTAGCAGCCAATCAGATCACAGCGTGAGGGGATTACTCTTCCTTACAGCCTGCCATGCCATTTGCAGCCTCAGAGATCGTAACAGGGAGATGGCCTATAACGCAATAGGGTCTCCAATATCCAATCTTTTTAGTGTCTGCAGGACATGGATCTCGCCTGTCCGGAATTGAGGGCCAGGTTCAGATTCGCGTTCTCTTCACGTGTCCGGAATTGAGGGCCAGGTTCAGATTGGCGTTCTCTTCACCCGAGGACAAGGCACGCTGATAACGACGAATGTACGCGCCCTGATAGCGAATGTATATAAGCTATCTTTCTGGTTCAGGTGCAGCCAAAATAAGGGTGCGTTGTGTTCGGGGGAAGACGGTAGCTGTCTCTTTTTTTTGCACGTCCATGTAAGTACGTTAGGTTTGTATAAACCGTAACTCTGTAACTACCTTCTTCCCCCGAATAGAACTCTGTACGGTCATTTTCGCTGCATCTGGACTGGAAGGTGAGCCAAATACGGCTATTTTGACCGGATCTTCTGTTCTGGGGAAGGAGGGTTGTCATACCAATTCGTCTGTTGTGCTCTCTCACTTTTTTTTTTTTTTTTTTTTTTTTTTTTTCCTCTTTCGGGGGGGGGGGGGGGGGGGGGGGGGGGGGGGGGGGGGGCGAAAGCCGCGGTGCCTCTGCACATCACGGCCACCCTTTTTTGCTCCCCGAGCCCCCCCACCTTTCTCCCCCTTCCCTATTATTGCTCGAGTTGGGAATGGTGCTGAAGTTATTATAAATAAAAAATAATAAAATAATAAAATAATAAAAAAACTGGTGGTGGTGACGGCGAGACAGTGGAGGAGTCGAGGAGGCACATGGGTGAGGGGATATCTGATTTTTTTTTTTTTTTTTTGGGTCCCCTCAGAGAACTCGAGATAATTTGGGTATTGTCTCCATGTTGAGGGATGTGACGTGGCCGATCTGCGGACAACCGCAGTCCCAGGCCGAATGCTGAAGTGGGTAATCAATTAAATTGCGACTATGATGAGTTCGGTAATTAGTGACGGAGATGGGAAAGAGGGGGGAGGAGGAGGGAGGACGAGGGAGGAGGAAGGAGGGAGAAGGAGCGGGGAGGAGGGGGAGGATGGAGAAGGAGGGAGGAGGAAGAATGAGGGAGGAGAAGGGAGATGGAGTAGGAAGGAGGAGGGAGGGAGGAGAAGAGGAGGAAGGGGGAGGGGGAGGGAGGAGCAGGGAGTAGAAGAGGAGGGAGGAGGGGAAGGAGGATGAAGGAAGGAGGAGGGGGGAGATGGAGGAGGAAGGAGGAGGGAGGAGGGAGGAGGGAAGGAGGAGAAGAGGAAGAGGGAGGGGGAGGGAGGGGGAGGGAGGAGGAGGGAAGAGGGAGCAGGAGAGAGTGGGATAAGATGGGTCTCTCTCTTTGGACCAGAGAAATTTTGAAGCCTGTTGATTGATTGATTGCTAGATCTATCTTCTCTGATGACGTGGGCCATGGTGGTGATTTCGTGGGCGTGGCACTTCAGCAATCGTTGTCATTGTCGGTGATGGGTCATCGGCGATGGCTTGGACTCCTTACCGCTCTCTCTCTCTCTCTCGCTCTCTCTCTCTTCTCTCGCTCTCTCTCTCTTCATCGCTCATGCCACTTCACCAATTGTTGTCATTGTCGTTGATTGGTCATCGGCGATGGCTTGAACTCCTTCCCTCTCTCTCTCTCTCCTCTCTCTCTCTCTCTATCGCTCTCGTATGAGTGATTGTGTGGTCGCCATATCTGTGACCACCAAACGTCAGCGAGTTTTTTAATGATAAATGACGTGGTCCCTCGCGGGCGTGCCACGTGGCGTTCAGAAGGAGAATGGGAAATGGAAGAAGTAAGATGGGGAGCGACGTCAGCAGACTCTTCGCATGCGTTTTAAACGGGGGGGTTAGACGGTGCAGGTGCCTGTGACGGTGGGTGCTAACGGACAGTCTTTTTTTTTTTCCGGGTCTAACTGACAGTCTCAATGACGGTGGGTGCTAACTGACAGGCTTACTGACGTGGCGAACTTTCATTGACATGTCAACGAACTTTCATTGACACGTGAACGAACTTTCATGGGTTGTGCCAGCAGCGAACGACGTATGAAACAACGTTCATTGCCGTTTTGTTGCTGGGTAGAATGTGTGCATTGGTTTGAGTTTTTTTTTCAAAATAAAATTTTGAATGATTTAAATTTAAATTTAAATTTAAATTGATCTGGCTGGACAATTTGCGCTCAAATAAGTCAGTAATTTGTTTTTTTTAATAATAAAAATTTAAATGATTTAAATTTAATTGTGAATTAATCTGGCTGAAGTCGCGTAACACTTTGCGCTCAAATAATTTGAAACAAGTCGGAAAATTTTCGGTTTTTTTTTTCAATTTTCAATTTAATGCGTTTTTTTTTCCGTAGGGAAGATGGGTAAGGGAGCGGGGTACGGTTGTCCTCTCTGTATATACGGAGGAATAGGGTTGCATTCATCCGATCCCTAAAAAGAGAAAAAGCTCTGTAAAATGCGACAAATGCAGTAAGTTATACTGAGGGCATACTCACACTAGCTCCATCTTAAATGCATCTCATCACGTTTTCGGCCAGACCTGGATGCATCTGACCGCAATTACGTCCATAAATAAGTTAACAAGCCGTAGTGTGAGTATGCCCTGAACTAGGACTTGCTGTATTATGTCCTTTTTCTGAATTTTCCTCATCCCTTTTTGGATTTTCCTTATTAAGAAAAAGGAGAAAACAGGAAATCGACAGACTGAAAAAAATAAAAAAAATCGCAGACTGCTGGTGTTCTATAACAACAATCAAGGGATTGTGTGGCGTTTCGGCGCACTTTGCGAGTCCTAATTATACTGTAATTTTTAACCTTTAAGCCAAGCCGTGCTATCTTCCTCATGATCCTCTTCCCCCTCCTCCTCCTTTTATACTCCTACCGTCTTCTCTCGAACAAAACGCACCCTCCTCCTCCTCTCTCTCCTCCTCCTCCTCCTCCTCTTCTTCTCCGACTACCTTCTTCTCCCGAACACAACGCAGCCTCATCATGACTGTATCGGACTGGAAACATCGCCTACATACGTTCATGATGAGGGTGCGTTGTGACTGGGGAAAAAAGACGGTAGCTCCTACTCCTCTCCTTTCCTCATTCATCCCCGTACTTCTATTCTTTTTCTTCTTCTTCAACGCTTCTCCTCTCCTTCCTTCTCCTTACCTTGCTCCTCTTCTCCATGTCTTTTCTCCTCCTCTCTCCCTCTCCTACTCCTCTCCTCTCCTTCTGCTTACCTTGCTCCTCCTCTCCTCTCCTTCTGCTTACCTTGCTCCTCCTCTTCGCCCTGTACGTCTTTTCTCCTCCTCTTTCCTTCCCCTCTTCCTCCCCGTTCTCCTCCTTTCCCTCCTCTCGTCTCCCCCTCGTTCTCGGTGTCCTCTCTCCGCTCCCCTCCTCTCCTCTCCTCTCTCCCCTTTTCTTTCTTTCTTCCTTTCCCGCCATTCCTCTCCCCTCCTCTCTCCTTTCTTCTGTATTTTCTCCCCTCCCTCTTCTTCCTCTTTTTTTTCTCTCCCCCGCCGTTTTTCTCCCTCTTCTTTCTCCCCCCATTCTTTCTCCCTCTCTCTTCTTTTTCCTCTTGTTTATTTCTCTTCTTCGGACCTTTCTCCCCCTCCTCCTCCTCCTCTCCTCTTTCTCCCACCTTTCCGTTTGGCTTCCTTCTCTTCCCCGTCGCGCGCGTCTTCTTCCAATCATCCCCCCTCTGCCCCTTCTGTTCTCCCCTCTTGCTCCCTCTCCTTATCCTCTTCTTCCTCCTCTTCTTCTTCTTCGTCTTCCTCTTCTTCCTCCTCTTGCTCCCTCTCCTTATCCTCTTCTTCCTCCTCTTCTTCCTCTTCTTCCTCCTCTTCTTCCTCCTCTTCTTCCTCTTCTTCCTCTTTTTTTTCCTCTTCTTCCTCTTCTTCTTCCCCCTTTTCTTCCTCTTTTCTTCCTCTTCTTCTTTCTCCTCTCTCTTCGTATGATGTCTTCTTTTTTTTTTGCGTTCGAGTTTCTGTGTCTATCTGCTTTTCAAAGTTCGTTATGATCTTTGCGTTTTGTTTGGGTTGCCTTCCTTTTTTTTTCTCTCTTTTTTTGACAATTTTCTCGATTTATGCTTGCCATCCTCGCGCAGGGACCATGCGAATTTTCTCTGTATAGTTTCAGTTTTGACGGATGGCCGTAGCGCGTATGAAGCTAAAAATTGACGACTTATGCGTGCCATCCTCTCGGTTTTTTGCTGGGCTTGTTTCTTCGATTTTTCATTCTTCTCCCTTCTATTTTAGCTTCATACGCGCTAGGTTTTTTTGTTTTGTTTTTTCCCCCATCAGCTAGGCTACCAGCCGGGCCGTCCGGGTCACCCTATTTTCCCGGACGGCCCGGCCGTGCAAGGCCCAGGGAAGGTCCTAGCAAAAAGAAAAAAAGAAAAAAATCAAACAAATCCGAAAAAAAACTATGTTATGCACGAAAATAAACTGAACAACTTTTGCCTCAGGGTCACATCGAAATTCTTTACCAAATTTAAAATAAGTATATATATACTTCTTCTCCCCCTCCGCCTCCCCCTCCCCCTTCTCCTCCCCCTCCCTCTCTTGGTCCATCTTCCCC